AGCCCAGAATCCCGGTGCTGCAGAGGACACATTCGCACTCACTTGTACGCCTTCGCTCGGATCAGAACTTCCCGGACAAATTGGTGGTCAATGGAGCAGCGGAGCTCGTGGCTGCAGTATGAATCCGCCGCACATTTCACTGTCAGAGAACCTGGAAGAAAAGTCACAATGTCTGGTCAGAGAACCTAGGGGAGGAGTCACAATGTCTGGTCAGAGAACCTAGAGGAGAAGTCACAATGTCTGGTCAGAGAACCTAGAGGAGGAGTCACAATGTCTGGTCAGAGACCCTGGAGGAGGAGTCACAATGTCTGGTCAGAGACCCTGGAGGAGGAGTCACAATGTCTGGTCAGAGACCCTAGAGGTGGAGTCACAATGTCTGGTCAGAGACCCTGGAGGAGGAGTCACAATGTCTGGTCAGAGACCCTGGAGGAGGAGTCACAATGTCTGGTCAGAGACCCTAGAGGAGGAGTCACAATGTCTGGTCAGAGACCCTGGAGGTGGAGTCACAATGTTTGGAGAGAGAATCTAGAGGAGAAGTCGCAATGTCTGGTCAGAGACTCTGGAGGTGGAGTCACAATGTCTGGTCCGAGACCCTAGAGGTGGAGTCACAATGTCTGGTCAGAGACCCTGGAGGAGGAGTCACAATGTCTGGTCAGAGACCCTGGAGGAGGAGTCACAATGTCTGGTCAGAGACCCTAGAGGAGGAGTCACAATGTCTGGTCAGAGACCCTGGAGGAGGAGTCACAATGTCTGGTCAGAGACCCTGGAGGAGGAGTCACAATGTCTGGTCAGAGACCCTAGAGGAGGAGTCACAATGTCTGGTCAGAGACCCTGGAGGAGGAGTCACAATACATGATGATAGACCATAAGAAAAGGAGAATTCATTGACACAGGTCACAGGATGAAGGTGGCCACGTCCTCTGTGTAGCCCCTCCCCCCTCAGGATCAGACTTTCCTGGTCATCACTTTTCATCCTCAGAGGACATCTCTGTAGTGAGAAGGTATTGGTGTTCTTCACTCTGGTTCCATAGAGGTATTGGGTTCCTTGCCCCGCCCCCTCCCCCGGTAACCTCTACCATCCCCGCAGCAACCTCCTCTACATATGGAGAGGTGCCCCCCGGTACTTACTCCGCCCCTGTACGAGGACATGTACGGTGGCCTTCGAGTTCTGGACATCGGTACACGTGTACCCGCCGGCGTCTCTAAGGTTGAAGGTGGGGGGAAGCGGCGTTGTTCGGTCCCATCGCACGTTGTCACCCTCTAACGGACATGTGATGGTGACGTCGCTGCCTCTGGTCCCGAAAAGATCTGGAAGGAGAAGAACTTCTACACATCGGGACAGTATGGAAAGTATCTGCTGAAACATGCAGCACAACGAGGCCCCGCCCAGGAGGAACCCAGGCCGGCCGCCACTGACGCATTCTGGGTGGAGACAGGAAATGAATATCTGGATTGGAATTTGGGCTAAAAATCGGCATTTTACCATTTTCTGGCCAGAAATCGGAAATATTACACGGCAGAGATATCGGTGATCGTCCCCATTTCATGTCTTCCCCTCCCGACGTTCACAGAGCTCAATAGCTCAAGCTAAAAGATCACAAATGAAGGCGTCTGAGCTGCGACTCCCGGAAACTGTTTATGAACAATGATGGTTGGAGACCTCGGGCGGCCATATTGTTTCCACATGACCCATAGTCACATGATCAGGGCCTACACGCCCCCTGCGCCTCGCCTAAAGTAGTGGTTTGATGGCTCTGGCAGTGCCGGCGTTGGAGCTAACGAAGGACAATAAGAACGAAGAGACGCCCCCAAAACCCGACTCACAGTGCTCCGGCCAGGACTCCGGCAACGCCTGAAGACGAGGAAATCCCCCGAGGAACAACGCCAGGCCGAAGATCTGCTGGAGGAACATCTGAGGACACGGAAGAGACAATTCCATTATGACATCGTACCGAAGAGGGGAAAACCGGCCCCTGT